GAAGATCAGCCATATCGCTATAAATTTTAAGCCGTAAGTTCTCTACGCAAACCTTTAGATTCGCTGCGCATAGGTTTACGTTTTACTATTGGATTCGTGATTTGTGCATAACGAGATCTTAATTGATCCCAACAAGTGGTATCAGAGCTTGTTTTAAATCCTTGTGTACAAATTCAAATTTTTACGGCTTTATTTGTCAAGATGTGTTCAAACGCAACCATATATTGGATTATATTCGCATAACTCGGTTTTGTACGAATTAGTTTAATCCACTATTATGGCCGATTATGTGTTTGATGAATGTTTATGAATGTGATGTATGGTTTTAAATTCTTTTTAAAGCCTCGAACATGTCGAGAAATTCGATGGATGAATGTTTGTAATAATTATTCGCCCGGGGGTTGACCGGACAGATTTAATTTTTTTGTTTAGAAAACATGTACATTCATTCGCTGGATCTAGGATCAGATTATGTAATTTTGTAAATTATATTTTTCGTGTTGTGATCGTGGATTAATTGTCTGGAGATCACAAGAGATCAACGAGCCTCGAAAGACCAACCGGGACGAAGCCCTGAGGCGCGCACGGACACGCGCGGGAAAATAAAATATATTTTCGGACCCTCGGCGGCGGCCGCGCGGTGGCGACGGCGGGCTGACGGCAGTGGAGAGGTTTACTTGGTGTCCAAGCAGTACAAGATCTACAAGGATTCTACTGCAGTGGGAGTTCCGGTTGAACATAGAAAGAATATACAAGGTTTCCTTGTTTATGGGAACTCAATATTTAATGGTCATAATAGTGGATATATTTATTTATTTATTTAAATTCATTATGCTATTATTTATTTATTTATTTATTTATACATGTTAATTAATTATTGTACTTGCGTAGGATTAATTTAGAATTACATATTTAATTATGCATGTTAGTTAATTATTGCATTTACATAGGATTAATTTAGAATTGCATAAATATTTATATAAGTAAAAATCCTCATTTAAATTATACTAAGTTTGAGAAGGGATTTTAAATTAAAGTTAATTATAAAATTCCTAAGGCTTCCATTTCTAATTTGTCGGTAAATCATTTAATTGCGGTTATGGGCTCCCCCTCGGGTGACATTGCTAATATTAATTGTAGGAAATTTCCAAGACGAATTTCTAATTAGACGATTAGAGGTTGTCTTATGAGAGAGTACGGGCTTCCTCTCGGATGACGTATAATCGAATTCGTATGAACTCGGGATCGAGAAATGGGATTCACTTAGAATGCGATTTATTTATAACCCCCTCAGGGTCCCTGAATTTATTGCATGGCCAAATGGAGACCGACTACTAATTTCATTCGTCATGAATTTGGTTTTTACTTATGGAAATTAATGGGCCGTTGAAAGCCCTTCTCTTGCGAATGTTGAGTTGTGTAGAGTTACCCTCGCATCATGCATTAACTCTCGGTGTTTTGAGATTTCGGTGAATTTAAGTTAATATTATTTTGAGGATATCAATATTAGCAATCAAATTCAAATGTGTTTAATCTGTAAAATTATTTTCGTGTTTCTCAGATATTCATCATGTCGTTCAATCCGTTATTTGTCATTCTAAAAGTAAATCAACTTACTGGTCCTAATTACATTGATTGGAAGAAGAACTTAGACATTGTGTTGACTGCTGAAGGTTATAAGTTTGCGATTACTGAGGCTTGCCCGGCAGAGCCCGCGGCTGATGCTTCTGAGCAGGAGAAATGGGAGTATGTCCGGTGGAAAAAGGCTGAAGAGATGGCGAAGTGTTACGTTTTGGCATCTATGTCAAATGTTCTTCAACATCAACATCCCTCTATGAACACTGCGGCAGATATACTTCTCAATCTCAGAAATCTGTTCGGACACCAGTCTAGGGCTGCTAGGCAAGAGGCCATGAGTGATCTGATGACTACGCGCATGGCAGAGGGCACACCCGTAAGGGAACATGCTCTCAAGGTTATGGCGCTACTCAATGAGCTTGAGGTTATGGAGGTTTTATTGACGGGGAAACCCAGGTTCATATCGTGCTCCAATCTCTGCCGAAGAGCTTTGATCAGTTCCGGTTGAACTACAACATGCACAAGATGCATATGGCTCTTCCAGAACTGTTAGCAGAGCTTCAGTTGGCGGAGGCCTTATTCACTCAGGCGACTCACGCACTAGTTGCCGAGCAGGCTGGCAATGTGATATTATTACTAATATAAATAAAATGATTAAATAATTCCAACTCTTTAATTTATAATGTTGTTGAATTAAAAAAGCTCATCACAATTCATAAAGGCCAAAAATTATAAACTTAAGTATGTAACCCAATTTATTGACCTAAATTAAAAGGCCAACTCAAACTTAGTGGACCATTTTTTCTTGTTAGTATTGGGCCAAATTAAAAACCAACAATCCCAACTATAAAATGCATTAAGGCCAACGGTTGGCCAATCAAAGGCTAGTTAAATTCGGCCCATATTCTACCCTGGATTAAATCCATAACTTTGATTACAGGTAGTCGTTCAACCTTGGCTGAAGCTGAAAGTAATAGGTTTGCCATCTTAAACAAGGCTGCAAGAATAAAATGTTTGGAAGCTTAGAGTTAAGGGCAAGATCAAACACTTTATCTGGAAGTATTTACTGGTATCCTGCCTGTTGGAGTGAACATTGTGAAAAAAAGGGATACAACTTGATGTGACTTGTCAATGTTGTGGGAAGGTGAAGAAACAGTGGCACGCCTGTTTTTTAAATGTCTAAGAGCTGCCAAAACCTGGAAGATAGCACTTGTCCTATGGGAGAACACTCCTTCAAAGCACATGAACTTCAAGGATTGGTGGTGGTGGTTGAATTCAATGAACAATAAGGAAACATAGTGGCTAGAATCTAACTATCAACCTATATTCTTTGGTGACTCTGGAAGGCAAGAAGCCTCTGGGTATTTGAAAAGGCTTGGAAGCCAGAGCACCTTATTATTAAGGATGTTGTCTCAGACTGGCAACTCTTCATGGCTACTCAGGTTATTACTTGAAAGTGTAGGTCTTAGCTTCGGTCTCTACTAGGACTTATGTCAGTGGTAGAAGGTTGTGTAATTTCTTGTGTTCTTTATATTTGTTGCAGTAGACTTTGGTTATCATAGTTTGAGGGTTCGGCTTATGCAGCTACCTCGAATTTGTGCTCGTGTAGTTTGTGTTTTCTGTCAAGGCTACAAAGTGTTTGTAGTTCTCTCATTGCTCAAGTTGTTTGAGTAGTCGGTTGTATTCGAACCTTTGATTTGTGGTATGAGTATTTCTATCGTTTGAAAAAAAAAAAGAAAAAAAAAAGAAAAGAGAGAGAAAGAGAGATCCCATAAGGACTACAATAACTTGAACAGTTCTTAAAAATAGAAACAAAAATTTGTATAAAAAAAAAAAAACAATGTACCGGTTCACATAAATACTCCTACCAGACACACAATCTAGTCAAAAGATTGTTTTTATTTTTTCTTTTTTTTTTAATAATTGGTAAATTGAATGCATACATAAACTCATTAAACATATGGTATGGGGCTACATCGAAAAAATAAAGCACTATAAATGCCCCCTCTCAAACTCACATCTTGATTAGTAAAAGGAAAAAGGAAATAAAAGTGAAGATGGCAATTATTAGAAATAAAAATGGGAAAAGGATGATAATGTGCATTGTAGTACTGGCTGTGACAGGAACAATAATATCGGTCGAAGACGAGGAAAAGGCATGCGCGGAGCAGCTGACAAAGCTGGCGGCTTGCATCCCATTTGTTAGCGGCACTACAAAGCAGCCGAGCAAGGAATGCTGTGACGACACCTCCAAGCTGAAGGCGTCACAGCCTCAGTGTTTGTGCGTGCTCATCAAACAGAGTAGCGACCCCTCAATGGGGCTCCCAATCAACACCACTTTGGCTCTCCAAATGCCAGCCGCTTGCAACATTGATGCTAAAGTCTCAGACTGCCCATGTAATATATATATAATCTTCAATTAATTAATTAATGCTAATACCTACTTCATTCATAAGTTGACGTTACTTAATGTTTTTCCAGCACTACTGAACATCCCAGCTGATTCACCGGAAGCAAAGATCTTCAAAGTGGCCTCCGCAGATTCAACTGCAAAATCCGACTCCTCAAAATCTCCCTCGTCACCAGCCACAGCTACTTCGGATCATAACACTAAAACCACAACTTCTTCCAGCATTAATCGTGCGGCCAATGTCTATATTAATAACATACTTCTCATCATAGGGTTGGCGTCGATTTCAGTAATTTTCTCTTAGTTGCAAACAACTATTTGTTACTCAATAAAAAATGACGAATTAGTAGTAACAGGCGGCCTTAATACTGCCAGCCAATTGTTTGTCTGTGGTAAGCCTGATGTGTGATGCTTATGTCTGTTATGTGTTCATAACTACATTACTAGTATAAATAAAGCTGGATTAATGTCTATTTACTTTTCCTTTTGATTTTATTTTCCTGAGCAAACGTTGATGTTTGTGCAAAAATACTCACGTAATCAGGTATGGACTGTACATTTTTATAAATTTGCTGCACATCTCGAATAGTAAATTGACATTTTCAGTATATAGGACATTAGCCTACTAAATAATTAATACTCATCCACTCGAAACAACAGTAATGCTAAGGAGCCAATTGTTGGCTCCGTTACGGAGCCAACAACCAATGAGACATCTCCATGTGGGGCTGTCCCACATTAGAGTCATGTGGGACAGCCCCACATGGAGATATCCCATTGGTTGTTGGCTCCGTAACGTAGTCAACAGTTGTCTCCTTAGCATTATTGTTCGAAACAAATGCGGTTATCCATAATTCTCAAATATGGTGATCCTAACTGAAAAGCTTGTACGTGTCATTGTCCTATATCGTAATTTTTCATATTTGTTGTTTGACTTGAATAAATTTATTCATTGCATAAGTAATTCGTATTTGCTCAATAACTTTGTTTGTTTGTTGCATACTTTATCGCTTGTTTTGCATTTGCTCAATGAACTTCGTCTATATGTGGCATTGTTTATCACATGATATTTCGCATTTTATATATTATCTCCGTATGTCTGTTGCATATTTTATCACATAAATTGTTTTGCGCTTACTCAATGAAATCCGCCTCGCATAGTTTATCACATAAATATTTCGCATTTTAACAATTATTTTCGTATTTCCATCGCATAGCCTTTTGCATAAATATTTCACACTAGCAATTATTTCACATGTCTGTCGCATAACGTTTTTTTCACTTTATCAATTATTTTCATTTGACTGTCGCCTAATTTCACATAATTTGTTTTTACACTTTGCAAACCAAAAATTGGCATATTATTTGGCAGTTTGAAAAACTTATTTTGGCTTTGGTAAAAATAGCTATTTCTTCAATATCAAACCATATAACAACCGTTAAATGTGACATGGCTTGTGCTTATATTTATTCCAATTTTTCTCACAAACCCAAACCAACAGTATGCAGTACATATATAATTAAACATACATCTAATAATTTCAGCAAATATTTCGGATCACAAAACTAAAGAAAGAGAGAACACAATCACCGTTATAATATGTATTAACAAGGCTCAATTACTGGCGCAACACAAATTCAGCATGTTTTCGTACCCATTGAAGCACCAGTAAGCTGAATTTGTCAACAAAGAAAAAGTGCAGGACACCAACTCAATGTTGAGGAATCATTCTAGTGCTGCGGACGACATTGATGTCTAAACATATTCATGCATATTCTAATTTTCCATCGAGATAAGGTTAGAGTAGAGGTTGTTGTCTACTCAAGGGTCGTTGGTGTATCATGGGTCATTATTATTTCCACATCTCGAATGTCTCGTTTCAGCACACTGGCCAGTCTAGCTATAGCTTCAGTCTGCCGCTGCAAGACCTACAGAGTGCAAGCGGACAACAGTAAAGTAAAGAGGAAAATAACGACAATTATGATTATAGAACAATAGATAACAACTTCCAACGAAACACGATCTCGTAGAGCCCAGTAAAATAAAAAAAATAAAAAAAAATAAAAAAATAAATAAAAAATGCTTGAGAAATGCCTAAATAAGTCGGCCAAGGTTTGGATAAAATTTCTCAAGAAATGATTTTGATAGATGACATCAAATGATTCCAAATATAGAAGACAGATTTGAAATTCGCATTAGCGACAATAAACGACTCAATAGGAATCTAATCCAAACAACCTCAATGCATTTGTTTCAAATCCATCCATTCATCCATCCATCCTAAAAAGGACTGATTGTTACTTCAGTCCCTATCTTCTTTTGCTGTTGGTAACCGAGTGAAACATAATATGGTATACAAATGTTTTGCACCAGACACACAATCTTCCAGGAAAAATAGTAGTGATAAAGGGTGAAGTATATTTTCCGAGCTATTTATTGTGAGCATGCAATTGTACTATGACGCTTTGTTTAAAATCATGGAAAATCAAACAAGTCAAGAATCTGTTCTTCGCTAGTACCTCCTGCATGTCAACTAGACTTTGTTCTTGGATTTTGGTTGACCCGGGCAGATAAACTGACCCACCATTTAATCCATCTGCTTGAAGACGGGAGAGTGTGAGCAGATTCTGGACCCGCCTGGAAAGCTCTCCTCCAGATCCCTTCAACTGCAAAAGAGGAAAGAGTATTTCTCGTTCATGTTGTCCATCATCACATTTAAAAACAGAGAACCATTAGGTATAATTTTACCTGTCTTGTTACGCCAGCCAACTTCTCTGCTAATTCTACTTCGCCCTTCATTAGAGGTAAACGGCTGCCTTTACTCTCCAGTGCCTCAATTATTCTCATTACCTGGGACATACAAATTAATCAAATTGAAAACATGGAGTAGATTATAATTGCGGATTAACATAGCACCAATATATATTATTCCTGCATAGTCTGAGGAAACCAAGCAAACCAGTATCTCCCACTAAAGTTATTTTTACCAATCTATTTCAAACAGATATTGTTGAAAATTTAAAATTGAGTTAAAAAATTATAGGTCGTGATAGATCTTTAATTAAATTGTGTTACTTAAAACTGACTCAATTTACAAAGTGCAACCTGTCAAAACAAAACAGTATGCCAATTAACTGTGATAGCTTATCATGGTAAACAGGCCTAACCATATGCTAAAAAATAAAACAAGTGTATAGAGCTTTATGAAATGCCTACCCTTAAAAGTCGCCTCTGAAGGCCTTGCTCTTTCTGTTGCATTCTCTGAATCCATGGGAGTGTGTCAGCTTGAAAATGCCTTTGGAGCTGCACCGAAAAATGCCAAAGTACCAAATTGGGTCACATAAACACACGCACACATTCACCCAAAAATTTGATTAATTGAGAGAGAGAAGATGGAGGCAGATGGAGAGTTCTCACCATCTTTACATTGGTCTGAGTCATCTTAAGTCTTTCAGAATCTGAGAGTATGACTTCATCTTGAAGCTGCAAAAACCATATTAGAAACGTTATCATAAATATTAGGGCAAATTAAAAATAAACAAAACCTGATTGTTCACAATGTATGCAACCAAGGAATATAACGAACATAAGGTGGATTTAACGGATTTTCAAATTGATGGTAATTGTAATAACATTATGCCGACCACCACAGACAGGGATCACAGAAACTGCTAAAGAACACAAAATCATGATACTAGTAATTCCCGTGATCCTAAATTTTTTTAAATACAAACAAAGCATTAATCAACAGTTTTATCAGAAATGATGTTTAAAATGGCAGAACCATAATACACATCCAGAAAGTTGAAAATAAAGCATATGGCTCCTAATAATTATACATTAGCATGTCAGATGCATGGCAAAATTCAACCAAGGTGTTTATCTTAGTTTCTTATCACGCAAGTTCAGTATTCACTAAGCTCCTGCAACAACACTTTCTTCTGTAATTTCTCGATAAGGTCTAAATCTTGTTGCATTGATGGAGGTATGAAAACTTTGAACTCAAATCCTCCCTAATGCAACAGAAACTCCTTACACCTTTCATAAACCGCATGCCTCACCCATCAACCTTCCATCTATTTCCATGAAAATGATTTCATGTTATTGACAATTGACTTATAAACTCATGTAATAATAAAGGATCCAACTGGGCATGCCCATTAAACATCAGTCCAGATGCCTCATATAAAATGTCCCAGCAACACTTGACGTCAATAGGTGTGACAAAACAACTGAGATTAAATTGTCAGCTCCTTAGTCAAAGCCATTATTAGTCAAACTTTTTGTACCTTGAGACGCTGAGAAAGATCTTTAAATCCCTGCACCAGTTGCGGCCATAGGCGTTCTCTTTTTGAAGCTTCCATGCCTTCTAACTTGGCCATTGCTTCTGCCCACATAATCTGGTAACCCAAACTATTTTACAAGACGTACAAAATAGCTTCCATAGTAACCTTATATTTTAAAAAGATGAGAGAGTGATGATGCAAATCAAATACTACAATAAACTCACGTCTGATACACCCGCAGGCTTCATCTTGTACTGAAGTTCAGTTACACTAAACAACAAATGCTGCAAAACAGACAAGAACTTTTGATCAACATCTAAATTGAAGAAAGAAAACTTCATATGAAAACCTAGCAGTGAAACCACTTTGAGAAAGAAAACTTAATCACCAATAGTATCCTCTTCCGTTTTTATTAACCACACAATGCATCAAATAGTTACTTTTAAAAAAGAAAATACTCAATTTTGAGTAAGAGCTTCATTCTGAAGTAGATCTGGAAATTTAAACCCCACCAATTGAAAGAAGCAGAATATTGATTTTTGTAAACCCAATGAACTCCACTAACTAAAAACTTAATCACCAATCTAATTGTGTAGACTACTATCCAGTAAAATCAAGGTTTAAAAGAAACCTCACCTTGAATGCATAGTTAAGATTTCCAGGCTCCTCTTTATATGCAGCCACAATTGCCTAAATGAACAACACCAGCAGTTCCAGTTAAACTTCAATTCTAAAAATTCAACACGTAAGAACATAAAAGATGAAACTAAACTTACAAAAAATAAATCTCACCTGAATATCACGATCCGCCAGAGAAAATGGAAGTGGAGCAACTGGGGCCATCTGAGTAGTCAGCTGCGTATTCGTGAAGTTCGTTGCATACAGAGCATTGTTAAAAGGAGTAACTTGTGCTTGCGTCTGTGCATTAAACGGCGTCGCAAAACCAAACGGGCTTTGCTGCTGTTGAGGCTGAGGTGTCTGAAACAGCGACGGCGTTTGCTGCTGGGGTTGGGATTGCTGAGAAAAGGGTGTTGAGAAGAGTGAGGAGCCGAACGCCGGGATCGAAGGGGTGCCGAATGCGGGGGTGGAGGAAGGGGCGCCGAAGGCCGGGGTGGAGGAAGGGGTGCCGAAGGCTGGGGAGGAGGACTGAGCTCCGAACATTTGTTGGGTTGCCGGCGGAACCCTAGTTTTAGAGATTGGGGAATCTGTTGCAGTGAAACTAGTGATGTTGCCGCCAATTGATTTCAGACAGTTGTAGAGACTTAGCAACTCACATCAATTGGCTTGGCGTAGAGCTGCAATCTGAAACTGAGATTCACATAGAGAGCGGCGATCGGCAATTTGAAATCGGCGGCTTGTAGGGTTGGTAAGTGAAGAGATTAGCCGTTTGGGCCACTGGTTTTTCACTACTGCACAATATTGGGAGTAGGATACAATCGTAGAAAATACTTTTAGTTTCGCTATAGCAGTTAAACATAAAAAATAACCAAAAAAAAAAAAAAGG